TGCAGCTTGGAAGAAATTGGGGAAAGACATACACATTCACATATATTCACATTCAAGTCAAAAGTTCAACTTGCAGTATTTGGACATACTTGCATGCAGCTCATTCTGCATCGTTGACAAGCAGATATTGCAGTCACACGTGCAGCGTGCGTGGTTCAGCTCCAAGGAGAACATTTGCAATCGCAACTATGTGATGGTTTGTGGACCAGGGGAAGACGGTCAAAGGGGGGAACGCATCCCTAAAGGAGGCAAGAAAGGCAAGGGCAAAGTCGAGGCCTTAGTTCAGAAGAACATTCGAAGCTTTATCGCCTTGAATCTGTTGTGGACATTCTGCTCTGAGGGAAAAGGAAAGGAAGGCAAATCACAAGGTGAGAAGCCTCAATCACGACACATGGATTCTTGGCTGCAAGGGCTGGACAGCGTCCTAACAGTTGGCAAAAAGCTACTAGGAGCAAAGGGCATCGCTACTAGGAGCAAAGAACACTACTAGGGGCTCCTGGCCTTACTACTAGGAACAAGAAGCTACTAGTAACTGAATTCAGCGCACGTGGCACACTCTTATCTTTTCCATGGGCTGGTGCCCTTGCTTCTAGTTTGGAGGCATCGCCGATCGCTAGTAGGTTGGAGGCCATCGTTAGTAGGTTCAAAGAGCTTAGGGAGCTTCCTTGAAGAATCCAAGCACAAGGTGCTTGTAGGGAGAACCGAGAACGCTTCCTATTGCTATACGTAGCTTCCTGTTGGACTTGATTCTATATTATAGCTACCAGATGCTACTAGGCAAAGAAGTAAAATATTTATCACTCTATTTAGCATATATTAATTTTTCCCCAAATAGTGCTCCGCACTAAGGGGTTCTTACGGTAAGAGTTAAGCGGGTTTAGATCAGGGTTCGCGCGTGTGGGCGCGGCAGTTTGCGTGGGCCGGCTCGCACAAAAGTGACTTTTTGAATTCCTCATGTCCATTTCGACTGCGCAGGCTCGCATAAAGTGGTGGCCGCGCCTTTCGCGCTTCCGGGACAAAGCTCTCCTGCAGGTGCCGTGCTCGTTTTCGGACATGAAGTGCATTTTGCGTGGCAGGCGCAAGGAATTCGACACATTGGAGCCTCGAAAAGGTCATTTTACGTGGCAGGTGCAAGGAATCGGAGACTTTGCAAATTTCGTGGCAGGCGCAGTGTTTTGTGGACGTTGCAAAAACGTTGGCAGGCGTGTGTCATTCGCAGGATTGCGTTTCACGTGGCAGGCGCAGGGCATCCGCACCATGGATGCGATATTTTGAGGTGAAACGGGTGAATTCGTGAGAGTGGTCGCATTTTTGGAATTTGAACTTGAGGATGCTTTTGCGTGGCCAGTGCAGCATTTCGTATGACCTGCAGGCATGATTTCGTGGCAGGCACAGCATTTCTGAAACGCGTTTGAAAATTTGCGAAAGCCTCGTGCAATTTGCTCATTTTGGATCTCCGATGTGCAGATTTCGTGGCAGGCGCAGCACTTTGTGCATCTCGATGTGCAGATTTCGTGGCAGGCGCAGCACTTTGTGAATCTC